TTTTTAGAGGCTATCCTTGTGACCCAAGTCACTTCAGACACAAAAGAAACTGGAATTATTTGATAATGAGAATGGTACTTCAAGTCACTTTGGGGCTGCCAAGAGCATCTGGCCCGAGTTATGCCACAGATTTAATATTTATTCTCATGTCCTACAGAGTGATGTAGAAAAACACACCTTTAATCCTGGTACTCAGGAGGCAGAGACAGATCAAGCTCTGAGAGTTCCAGGCCAGCCTGGTTTATAGAGTTCTAGGCCTCCCAGGGCTATGCAACAAAACCCTGTCCCAAAATAGAAAGGTGAAGAAAAATTAAAGACAACTGTTTTAAATGAGAACCTTCAATCTAAGTAGCTGTGTGCAAGAGTCTGAGTAATAAAGTCAGTAACATTACTTTTGATTATTCTCATGTACTACAGTCAGTGTACATGAGGGACATACTAGACCCACACAATTACCAAATCTAATATCCTGAGGTGCCTTCCACCAGGGCCCCTGGACCTGGATCTTTTCCTCTCCCTGCAGAAACAGACATGCTTTGAGATTTAGAGGCCATAGCTCATTCTTGAGCTCCAGCTCGAATTGAGCTAGCTCATCACAGGAAGGCACTGGGTTGCACTCAATTTCCCATTACCTTCTTCAGCAGATCACTTACATAATTTAGACAGCCAATCAGAGGCAATGCATTTGATTTTATGTGTATGAATGAGCAACAGAGTTGGCTGCACTTCAGTGCTAAATGAGAGATGACATACAGTAGAACCTACAGTTATTCATGGAGGCTATGTCTTCAGGTGGTCAGAATCCACCCGAGACACTTCATTCTTATCTGAGTTACTATGGCATGGTCTACACAAGCCAAACAAAACAAAACAAAATGAAACAAAGCAGAACTCCCTTCCAAACCAACTTCCCCCTCCCAAGTGAAATTTACAATATTATGCCTGGGTCACATTCTGCCTGTCTGGACCTCTTGAACTGTTCAGAGGAGCATTAGTTTCTAAAGTACTAAAGGTATTCTGGAGCAAATCAAGTCTGGCAACTGCATCCCTCCTTTGGGGATTAGTAATGGACATTAGCATATTAAAAGCCAGCAGGAATAATGCTTTGGGAGAGAAATCCTGTGCAATGCTGGCATTTTCCAAACTTATTTAGACCACGGAGCACTTTTCTCCGCAACCCTAGGGAGGACTCATTAACTTATTGATCATAATGCTACCTGGGGAAACTGCTCAATTCTGTTTCAGGGTTGGTTTGAGAGCTCTAAACTAGCCAAGGAAGAAAGGTGCCAGGGCCTCGGAACAATGCCAGTGTCTGAAGGTCTTAACCTTTCTAGAAAGAAGACAGCTAAGACTGAGAAGAGGCAGACAGCAGGCCTGCTTTGGCCCTGCTTTGTTCCTTCGCACCCACAGCATTGAATTAATTACTTTTTAAATTATTTTATTTTATACATTCCAGGGACTCTATTCTTAAGTCTCCACATCTCACACTAACTAGAATGCCTGTACACTCATCTTGCCCCAACTCCTGTGAGCTTCTTCAGGGTAGAACCCCATGCTTAGCACAGTACCTGAATAAACGCATGCACAGCATAACACTGTGTTCATGATACCAACTTTGGAACAGGACCTTGAGTAAATGTGCAAAGTAACAGTGTTCTGTGTGGATTTGTCCCTATGATACCCTATGAGTTAGGTATCTTTATCCTTACTTTAAAAATACAGGAGCCCAATGCCACCCAGCATCAGCCAAGATAAACTCAGGTAGTACGACATCAGTGCCTGTGTTCTTTAGAGACAGCTTCCTGAAGCCCAGGCTGACTCCAAACTAATTATGTAATCAAGGTTGACTTTGAAATTTTGATCCTGTCTCTATTCCTAAATGCTGGGATAACATTCATGGGTTACCATGTGGTACTAGGGACCAAACCCAGAAGCTCTGTGTATGATAGGCAAGAACTCTACCAACTGAGCCAAACTCCCAGCCTCGACCCTGTGTTCTTAACCACCACACTGTTCTTCCTTTCTTCTGGGGTTCATTACACAGTTCTGTGGCAAGAGGAGGAAAGGCCTATAATTCATACAGACCTATTCTGTGTATGGAGAGAGAAGAAAAGACCTGTAATTGCTGTATGTAGACTTTCTCTATCTCAGATGTTGCTCTAGGTATAGAGAATACACAGAAAGACATAAGAATTTAGTATGAATGGCAGTCAACATAGCAATGTGCAAACCTCCACACAAACTAAATGACAGATGCTATTATAAAGAATAGAATGGCTAGGCAGTTGTGGCACACACCTTTTATTCCAGCACTTGGGAGGCAGAGGCAGTCAAATCTCTGAGTTCAAGGCCAGCCTGGTCTATAGATTAAGTTCCAGGGCAGCCAGGTCTACTCAGAAAAAGCCTGTCTGGGGAAAAAAAAAAAAAAAAAAAACCTGAAAAATAGGATGGTATGATGCAACGTATTGGAGCCAGTTGAGGATGGGTATGGTCTTTGTGGTTCTGAGGCTCTTGAGATAACATTATCCTGGATTACCAGCTGGGCTCTGAGACTTCATAAGACCAAGTAGGTGCAGACACTTAGGGATATAGAGGGGAAGGCCACATAGGGACAGGACAGAGATGGAGCACCTATAGCCACCAGAAGCTGAGGAAGCAAGGAAGGATGCTCCTCTAGAACCTTTGGAGGGAGCATGACCTGATCAACATCTTAATTTCATGTACCATGACTTTTAAACCCAACCGTGAGGAAGCAGATTTCTGTTGTTTTCAATCAAATTTGTGGCAATTTTTTGTAGTGATCCTGGGAGACAAGTGAATGTCATTTATTCTGTTACTTGGTATGAAGCTAGGCCCTATCTCCTTGATATCTATCAATGTACACTCAGGGGATCTTATGTAAAACATATAAAACAAACCAAGACATCAAAGTAAATGGCACAGCACCACAGGCCTCAAAGCTAACTGTACTTCTGCCTGTCAGGCATGGCTGTGCAATTTGTACCCTGCCTCTAGATGCAAGCATTTTAGCACATAGGGGCCCAGCATCTTACTCAGTAAACGGCCCAAAGTCATTTGAAAGAAACTCCCTACTACCTTTTTAATCACTAGGTTGCATTTTTCTTCGTTACCACTACCCTGAATCATTTTATTTTGTACACCCTATAATTTTAACACAGATAGTGATTTATCGCAAACCATTTCCTTTAAGTGGTTCCATTGGCTTTAGTTTGAGGAGGAAGAAAAAAACCTAGAGGCATTTATTAATTCTATTTTTGTAACTTTAAATATTATGTTTTTGGATTTGCACATGCTATCTAATCCTTTCCTGTGAGACAGCAACCCAGCCAAAGCTATTCTAGAAAAAGGACTTGGTAATATGTCCCCATGACATCCACATCATGTTTCCCCAAAAGAGGACAAAGATGAGAGGAGGCATTGTTTTAAGCAAACAAGTGCTATTTTAAAAAATTATATGGATAGATTAAAAGAAAAGACACCCAGATTGGAAATGAAAGAAGTAAAATGAGTTCTGGCTGCAAGGAGAGTCATCTCATTTGCTTTTCTAGTGTTGATAAAGATTGCATGTCAGAGGGGTTCAACATGATGTTTTGACATGTGATGAATGCACCGTGACGTATTATAGCAATTGGCCTAACTAGTGTTTCTTTGCTTTTCTCCTTTTCCTTTTTCCATAGGGCCTTGCTATATAGCTCAGAGTGGTCATGAATTCATGACCCTCCTGCCTCAGCCTACTGAGTACTGAGTAGGGGTGTGTGTGTGTGTGTGTGTGTGTGTGTGTGTGTGTGTACATATACATATTTGTCATCAGCTTTCAGCATCTCTCTTAGTGAATCAGAGCATGTGATGTAGCCTTGGTAACTGCAGTTACTATGCAGCAATCAGCTCCTAAGATGAGCTCAACCCATACAACTTAAGCTTTGGACCGTCTGACAGTCTTCCCATTTACCCCACTCCTGGACTCTGTAGGAACTGCCATTCTACTTCATTTCTATGAGTTTGGTTAGTTTTCTGGTTTCATATATAAGTTGGTGCCATGATTTTGCATAAAAAAAGTGACAGAATCCACTGAAAAGTGCTGTGTCTAAAAGCATAGTTGGTGCTTTGGATGGCTGTGAGAGGATGCATGGCAGCCTCCAGAACATTCTCCCACAGCCTGAAAATGAAGAGTTTATCACACTACAAACAGTGACAAAAGAATTCTAAGCCCAGATAAGTATCTGAATATTCAAGAGATGAAAAGCACCCAAAATGGTAACTAGCTGGGTAAATTTAAAAGACTTAGTTTTGGTGTCTATCTGTCCGTCCATTCTTCCGTCTGTCCTTCCTTCCTCGCTTCCTTCCTGGCTGTCGTGGAACTCACTCTGAAGACCAGGCTGGCCTTGAACTCACAGAGATCCACCTGTCTCTGCCTTCCAAGTGCTGGGATTAAAGGCTTGTGCCACCAAGCCTGGCTCTTCTTATTTCTTAAAATAACTGAAAGCAAAGACATTAAGCAGACCACTCCTTCATCAAAGACCAACCACCTAACGACTCTGGGTTCTTGTTACACATGTCCTGACTCTGCCTTGGAGGAGAGTGGTTGTGAAGCTCTGCCTTGCTTCATGCCTGTTTCCAGACCAGTCACTGTGACAATCTGCACTGTCTGCTGCACCATCAAATGCATGTGCTGAGCTTGGTGTCTTTGGGTAAAATGCAAGGTTCAGTTAAGGTCAACACAAGAGATAAAACCACCAGGCGGTGGTGGCTAACACCTTTAATCAATCCTAGCATTCATGAGGCAGAGACAGGCAGATCTCTGTGAGTTGGAGGCCAGCCTGGTCTACAGAAAAAATCCTGTCTCAAAAAATCAAAAGTCAAAACATAAATAAATAAACAAGAACAAACCAAAGGACAATGCCAAGAAAACACGACATTTTAAGGAGAGGCATTCATTAAAGGCTTACACCTTCAAGAAGGAAGCTTCTGGGTTTCATTACCTTTATCAAGGGATGCTCCAGCCATGTGGTAAAAGCTCAAAGCAGTGTCCACGTCATTAATGTTCTTCAGGAAAGTGAAGAAGTTCTCTACTTCCTGGAAAGTCAGACCCTGAAAGAGGAGCGGCAGCAAGGTAAGGCAGAGCCCATAGCAAAGAGCAAAGCCAGAGACCTGGCAGGAACACACTCCCCCATCCTACAGATGGTGAACCCATCAATCAAGGGACGACAACTATGTACACAACAGGAAAACCCTAGAGCTGTGGTTCTCAACCTTTTTAATGCTGCTACTCTTGCTTACAGTTCTTCATGTTGTGGTGACCACAACCATAACATTATTCATTGCTGTTTCATAACTGTAATTTTGCTACTGTTATGAATCGTAAGTATCTGACACTCAAGATATCTGATATGTGATCCCTGTGAAAGGGTCCTTCAGCACCCAAAGTGGTCACAACCCACAGGTTGAGAACGACTGCTTTAGAGTATTACCCTGAGGACAGCAACCTGGTACTGATTCCCTCACATATAGACTCTAACATAAAGCTGCTTACTATGATGGCTGGGCATCCTTGAAAATGCTTAGCTGTGTTTTCCAGTTAGTCACATGGTCTACTGTACTCCCTCAGTGGGGTGTGGCCTGTTCACCTGTTGCAGATCTTAAGAAGTGAAATTAGAGTCAGGACTTCCACTAACAGACTGCTCACAGGCCTTTTAGGCTTAAGGTAGTAAGTGAATCACAAAGTCAGGGACATACAAGAGGTAGGTGTCAGCACTTAGCCAATCCCCAGCATTGACCAGGAAGGCTGTTCATCACCTCCATTTAAAAAGCTCCAGGTGAAATGATGCACCATGGGGCCTTCACCACATTCTGTGAATGGAGGTGTTCTTTCCAGAAGCTGGTCAAAGCTTTGCCCATCTTAACTCCACTTTCTATGACAACTTAAGAAGCTATTTACATCAGGGCCACCTGCAGCTCCTTCCAGGGGGAAAATTTCCTATTTATTTCCCTACTTCTCACACATCCACATCACACTGTGACCACAATGAAGGCAAAGCAGAACACTGGGGTTCTCAACCTGAGGGTTGTGACCCCCATAGGGATCACATATCAGATATTCATACTATCATTCATAAAAGCAGCAAAATTAGTTATTAAGTATCAATGAAATAGTTTTATTGTTGGGGATCACCATGATATGAGGAACTGTATTGAAAGGTCACAGAATTAGGAAGGTTGAGAACCACTGCCTTAGTCTATTTTTGAGCATTATAAGTGGAATTAAGTAGTATGCATTTTGTTATGTATAGCTTCTCCTTAAGGTCTGCTCCATGCTTTTTATTGTAGTTTATTTTTATTGTATCAAGTCTTATGTAAACATATCAATTTGTTTTTCTTTTTAAAAGGACCCCCTATGCATCTGTAATTTATTAGCATGTATGTGTTTGAGAGGGGGCTGTCCATCCAGAGGTCAGAGGACAACCTTGTGGAGTCAGTTGTCTCCTTCTACCTGCATGGGGTTCCTGGGATCCAATTCAGGTCACCAGGTAGTGGGTGCCTTTACCCACTGAACCATCTTGCTGGCCCTCACAAACTGAGTTCTTGTTTAAAAAAAAAAAATGGGTGATTTTCAGTTTTAGAGAGTTATAAACAAAAGTGCACCTGTATTCAAGTATTCAGCTAGACACTTATGGAGTCCCTACCTCTACGTATCAAGTGGCATAATTTTTGTAGACCCTAACTTCAAGTAATTTTCTTGGCCTCGACGTGGTCAGGAGTTGGGGCTGACCCCTAATCTGGCTGCTACAGTATGCTGGTTGATATAAGATTTGCCTAGCATCCACCTTGTAGATGAGTGTGTCACTGGAGTAGAGGTAAGGGTTCCACAGTATCACTGTATCTGCACTAGAGATATACACTGACACCATCTCCCTTTTTCCGTCAAAAGACTACACAAAAATGGAAGCAATATAAGTGTCCACTGAGGGCTGAAGCAGTAAACAAAACAAAGAACCCAGATCTGCCTCACCCTCTTTCTCCAGGCCATGGTGGTGCATGTCTGTATCCCTACACTCCAGAGTCTGAGGCAGGAGAATTCTGAGTTTGATGCTTGCCTGGGCTACACGGTGAGACCTTGTTTTGAAAACAAAACAACAAAATAAAGGGCATGAGGGAAGGATTTTTTTGTTTAACTGCACTTATATGAGATACTTGGGATAGTCAAATTTATAGAGATGGAATGTAGGCTGGTGGTTACCATAGTGAATGTGGAGTTACTGTTTAATGAGTAGTTTTGGTTTGGGAAGGTGAACACAGTTCTGGAGATGGTGCTGATGGTTGCCTTATAGTGGGGCTACACTTACAACCACTGAACTACACAATTTAAAATGTTTAAAATGGCAACCTCTGTGTACATCCGGAGACATATACAAAATGCACTAAAGCTTTACGGCATTATAGAGATTAAGAAATGGATTCCTCTGGGAAGAGCCGGTGGGGAACAGCAGACAGTATTCTTACTCTTCTTCCTTTTCAAAACAGCTTTCTAATGCGGAGAGGGATGGCCCAGTAGTTAAGAGCACTGGCTGCCCTTGCATAGGACCCAGATTCAGTTCTCAGCACCCACACAGTGGCTTACAACTGTCTGTAACTCCAGTTCCAGGGGATCTTAAAACACAACTTTAAGCAGGGCGTGGTGGCACATGCCTTTAAGCTCAGCACTTTGAGGCTCTGAGGTAATTAGATTTTTCTTTTTTCTTATTACCTCACCCTGAAAGTAGATCTCTGTGAGTTCCAGGACACCAGTTACAGAAAACAATACATAAACATAAAAACAACAAAACCTCTGAGTTTTGCTTATTAATTATTGTGTGTATATGCATGTGGGCATGTACCATGATGTGTTCGGAGGCCAGGAGAGAGCTTCCAGGAGTTGGCCCTCTTCTTCCCTCTTACTGAGCTTGCTTACTTTACTCTCTTGCTTCTGCTGCTCCAGGCATTTCAGCACATCTGCCCTGAGAGCCTCCAGGCAATTCTCCTGTCTTATCTCCCATTGCTATATCCAAGTGCTCAGATTACAGATCTGTGCTATCACATCTGGCTCTCTTTACCTGGATTCCTGGGATTGAACTCAGGCCATGATGCTTACGTGGCAAGCACTTTTAGCTGCTGAGCTATTATGACAGCCCTACATTCTTATTCTTTTTTTGTTGGGCTGCCACTGGGCTGCGTCCTCGGCCGCAGACTGGAAAGGGTTTTAAGGACTAAAGGCTGACCTAAAACAAAGAGGATATTGCAGAGAAAATACTTTCTAGTTTGATAAAGAATTCTTAATGTTTGTTGATTAAGTTTTCTGGTGAAACATCAGATGCTACAGTCCAAGACCAACCAGACTTCTCATGCTGAGCTTATGGGAGGACAGAGAGGGAGAGGGGAAGGGAGAGGGGAGAGAGGACAGAGAGAGGGAGGGAGGAAGGACAACCTGCATCAAGTGCCTATTCATCATGATTTAGATAAACAGTAGGGCACAAATCATCTGGTGACACCATTAAATCTAATATATAATGCTCTGTCTTTATTATACAGATACAATAAAGAATATTTATTGAGTGCTTATTTGCCACCCAGCACTCTGCCAAGAACAGCAAGAGAAATAAAACTACACTGGACATAGGCCTTGATGTTATGGAGCTTATGATTTACATAGGCCTCCTAGAGAAAAAGATGATATCAACTACAAAATTTTTATTTTTCCCAGTAACTGCTCACACAAATGCATGCACATGCGCGCATGCACACACACACACACACACACACACACACACACACACACACACACAGAGTCATGAGCTTTGTGAATATAAAGTAGAAGCTGAGGGCTATGTTTATCATGATCTAAGTTGTTCAAATAGGAAGATTCAAGCTCAAGTATGATCTACTGTTCTGAAAGGACATGATGTCAACAGCAGTCAGGAGGGAGTGTCTTCCCTTGAGTCTGATGTCAGTAGAGTTTTCTAGACAAGTCAACTGGAGGTAGAAAATCAAGAGTTCTAGAAAACTATTCTGTAAACTAGTTAACTAGTGACCTTAGGGAAAATAGACTTACATAAAAGCTAGGCTACTCAAAAAAGAAGGTAAAATTAACAGTAGCTTGTGGAAGCAGAAGCAATTTTCTAGGCACTCTAACCATGCATTCAACACCAGGGAGTTGTTAACAAGGAGAATTGTCTTCGGAAAGTAAAAGCAATCAACAAAAACTTTATAAGACGACAGTGGATATTTTTATGGCTGAGTGAGGCAAGAGTTCTGACATAACACAGCAAGGTACAATTTAAACCAAAAAAAAAAAACAACCCTGTATCAGAACTCATCAAAACTGAGAGTAAATTGTAAGTGAGAAGATAAAGGAAAACATTTGGAAATCACTTTTTTGATAAGAACTTATAGCCAGAACTGTAAGAGTATAAAGAACTCATACAACTCAACATCGAAAAGACTAACGTTGTGGTCTAATAAAAGATATGGTAGTGAGATGTAGCTTAGAGGTCTAGCACTAGTCCTATGTTTATACAAGGCGCTGGATTTGACCTCAGCACCATAAACAAACAAACAAATGAATAAATACTCAAGAGATATTTTACTAAACGAGATACATGACTAAATGATGAACACATTGAAAAAATACAAATTGAAACTATAATGATATCTACTAAAATGGCTGATAAAAAGACTGAGCAAGCATTGGAGAGTGCAGAGAAACGGAATTCTCATACACATGTAGAAAAGTAAAATGGCCATTTTGGAAAACAATTTGGGTGTCTTTAATTTTTTTTTTCCTTTTTTGGAGACAGGGTCTCTACATAGCTCTGACTGTCCTGGACATCACACTGTACATCAAACTGGCCTCAAATACACAGAGATTCTCCTGCCTCACCTTCCCAAGTGCCAGGATTAAAGCTATTCACCACCATGACCAGCCTAGTTTGCATGACTCAGCTATCTCCCTCTTAGGAGTCTTCTAAAAAATAAAAATAAAAAACATAGGTCCTGGTGCTAGAGAGATGGCTCAGTGTTAGGAGCACTGGTTGTTTTTCCAGAGGACCCAGGTTCAA